TATAAATGCGCATAGCATCAAGATTTCTCCTTCTTTCTCTTTCATTTACAGAGACTCCATCTTTCTCACTCTCTTTTCCTACGTCCTTTTCAACTCTCTCTCTCTCTCTCGCTAGCGTTCCACGTTTTTCTCTATTTTACCAACCTACAATCTCTGTCTTTTCAACGACCTTTATTTTCGTATTACTATACCTATATATATATATATATATATATATATATATATATATATATATATATATATATATAAAATATACCTTATATATGTGTGTGTGTGTGTGTAAACCATAAGGGATTATTAATCTTACTTCTCCCTATTCTCCTCCCTCTCTCTGTAACTGTTTACGCGCGCACGCGCAAACACATACAAATACGTATACATATATATATATATATATATATTATCCGCCTCTTCACTCTCATATTTTTTATTCCTATCTAATTTCTCATTTTCACTCCCCTGTCTCTCTTTCTCTTTGCACTTACATCTCTATCGATCTGTACAGATCGATGGAATGACATAGATACGCAGAAAAATCGATAGAATATACATCTAGTTTATATTTACCAAGCCCAGTTTAGTCTGATAAAAAGAAAAAAAAAACATAAACTGGCTGGTAGATTATATTGCGCCAGTATTCTATGTGTACAATATCGTCCTGAAAATCAGCATGCGAAATCCTTTTTATATATTGGGATTGAACTCTGAACATTGTCGCTAATAAAATATTTCAACTTTTGAGACATCCCAGAAAAGCACACAGACACACAAACATTACACACACACACACACACACACACATATATATATATATATATATATATATATATATATATATATATATATATATATATATATATATATATATATATATATATAGATGTGTGAGTGTGACCACTTATCATTATCTTTATTTTACGGACTCTGGGAGATTTTCAAACGTACCTGCCTCTGCAGGCCTACAAGTGAACCAATAGACTGACAGAGCTACGTGCCTTGTCGCCTAACACGTGTATTGAAGATTAACTCAAACAGTGGCGGCAGCATTGTATAAGAATGTTTTACGGTATGACGCAAGATGTGTATTTGGTTGTAAGATAAGAAGTTGATTTTTGAAGACTTTCTTTGGAAATAAACATGATTGTTTCGTTTTGTTTCTCTAACACGGCTGACTAAGACTAGTAAAGGTTTTTCATGTAGTGTACTTATAAAATCTACAGATTTTGCCGGCTATGATTACTAACTGCGCATGTTTGACTAGAAAGCATGCACATAACTTATTTGTCAAACTGCAAAGATGTACTTAACACTTGTACTTTGCTATAAAAACTCACAGACACCTCATGAAACAGATACACACACACACACACACACACATATATATATATATATATATATATATATATATATATATACGATGATAGATACAGAGGGAGGATGAGTTGGGAAAAACAGGCAGGGATAGATAGATAGATAGATAGATAGATAGATGATAGATAGATAGATAGATGAATAATGAACATACTGAGATAGATAGATAGATAGATAGATAGATAATAATGATAGATAGATAGATAGATAGATAGATATTAACAATTAAATAGATATATAGACATGAACAGTGTGATATATATATATATATATAGAGAGAGGGATGGATAGATAGATAATGAAGAGACTGAGATAGATAGATAGATAGATAGATAGATAGATAGATAGATGAATGAATAGATAAAGAGACTGAGATAGAATAGATAGATAGATGAATAGATGGATAGATAATGATGGATAGATAAAAAGAGACTGGATAGATGAATAGATAGATAGATAGATAGATAAATAGACTGAGATAGATGAATGAATAGATAGATGATAGATAGATAGATAGATAGATAGATAGATAGATAGATAAAAGAGACTGAGATAGATAGATAGATGATAGATAGATAGATAGATAGATAGATATTAAGAGAATTAAATAGATAAATAGACATGAACAGATTGATATATATATATATATATATATATATATATATATATATATATATATATATATAGAGAGAGAGAGAGAGAGATACCAACAGCCTCCTCTAATCTTCTCTGATATTCGAACTCAAAAAAAAAAAAACTAATCTGAAAAATTGATTTTCAAGGCAAGCTGGTTTTACATAGGTGGAGACCTGACGCAACACGATCTTCGTCCTCTTATTTGGCTTTGCATCATACTCCTTTAATCTTAGTAAATGAACAGCTACCCTACTTAGTGTGTTGGCATCATTAAATTAGACGTTCTCTTTAGTTTTAAACTAAGATTCTCTTCTCCTGCCATCGCCAATTCTAACACACATAAGTATTTTGAGGGTTGGTTTCTACAGATTTACTGCACATATCTTACTGAACACTAATACGTATCGAGGCAAACTGATAAGTATATTTTTGTCTACGTACAGGTATTTTTAAGTCATTTTGCGTGATCTATGCGTGTTCGACAGAGTTACGA